AGAACATAACTTTGGACCACTCAGCAGCAGTCCCAGGCGAGATGCTTCTGACGCTGTCTCTTGTTCAAAAGTGGCTTGACCTGGGGAATGCAGCACCTGTAGCCCATTTCCTGCACACGCCTGTGCACGGTGGCTCTGGATGTTTCTACTCCAGACTCAGTCCACTGCTTCCGCAGGTCCCCCAAGGTCTGGAATCGGCCCTTCTCCACAATCCTCCTCAGGGTCCGGTCACCTCTTCTCATTGTGCAGCGTTTTCTGCCACACTTTTCCCTTCCCACAGACTTCCCACTGAGGTGCCTTGATACAGCACTCTGGGAACAGCCTGTTCGTTCAGCAATTTCTTTCTGTGTCTTACCGTCTTGCTTGAGGGTGTCAATGATGGCCTTCTGGACAGCAGTCAGGTCGGCAGTCTTACCCATGATTGTGGTTTTGAGTAATGAACAAGGCTGGGAGTTTTTAAAAGCCTCAGGAATCTTTTGCAGGTGTTTAGAGTTACGTCGTTGATTCAGATGGTTAGGTTAATAGCTTGTTTAGAGAAACTTTTCATGATATGCTAATTTTTTGGGACAGGCATTTTGGGTTTTCATGAGCTGTATGCCATAATCATCAGTATTAATACAATTAAAGACCCTGAAATATTTCAGTTGGTGTGCAATGAATCTGAAATATATGAAAGTTTCATTTTTATCATTACATTATGGAAAATAATGACCTTTATCACAATATGCTAGTTTTTTGAGAAGGACCTGTAGATGAAAGAACACAAACATAACAAGTTGCATTTTACTAATTTATTGAGCAATTGTTTCCTTTAAACAGTGACATTACTGTCATGTTTTAAATTGTTTAAATAAACAAACAAAAAAAGAAGAAGAATGTACCAAGCAGAGAACTCAACAAATAAAAATGTTTAAAGGCGTTATTATACATTGGACGACGTCCTCAAGAAGTTCAGTCTATGTGGTCGAGGTAATGAGCTCGTTTCAGCGAAGCATGATGTCGTGCATCTTACCAGACTTTAGAGCATCATTTACAGACTGGAGCATTGCAGGTCTGGTGTTCCACCTCATCTCTCCACAGCTGGACCAGTCCAGAGCCTTGTGTCACCTAAAAGTGAAAGAAGACAGTGTACGAGTCAAAATAGGGTTACAGTGACTACAAATTACAATTTGTTGGCCTTTCTTTTGGAAAAAAATATTTGATCAAAAACGAGCTTTACAGTTGAAATTAAGTCAAGAAAATGTGACATTTGCAAATATAAATTACAGAAGCTTGTTTTTTCTTTATTTCACGTATCATATTTTATAATTATTTAATCAGCCTCACCAGGCAGACATTACAAGATTTTATGGATCTTACCTGCTCTTTTGAAGTGTGTGACAAGGGTCTTTGTGTCCAAAGCTGTTTAACAGTTTGCTTCCAGAGCTAACAGCTTCCTCTGTTGGGTAGAAAAATTAAATTAAATTAAAGACAAACAAAAAGCTTCATGTTACTTCTTGTGCCATGCTTTCTAAAACAGTTATTAAATCAAGTATTTACTTATGTAGGTAAACATAGATGTTTTGAAACCTGTTAAAATACACCAGAATGCAGGAAATGGCAGCTACTTTATTCAAAATGTTATGGGGGAGGACCCACAGACCTCACATTAAAAAGTTCCCCCCTACAATAATTCTAATGCTAATACCCACTGTTATTCAAGCCAAGAGCCATTGTCAACACTGGGGGGCTAAGGCCCCTAAAAAAGGCTTCTAGAATCGCCCCTGGTGTGAAGAAATGAACTGAGAAAAATCAACTCTTGGCCTAAAATTCAACACAACAACATAATTGTACACATCATATCTTAAATCTAAAACCAAAATGGTTATAATGTATATTATGCAACCAGCCTTTCATATAAAAACTGGTATATTTTTACCAGAGAATGCTTTCACTAATGAGTTTGTTGTTGTACTGACATGGTTACAGCCGACAGTAACTATTTACACAATAAAGTGATGGTTATTCACATTTTCCTCGATTTCAGTATCCAGCAGGACGTCACAATATAAAAACTGGGATATTTTTACCGGAGAATGCGTGCACTTTAACCAGGAAGAGTTCGTATTTTTTATTTTATTTACATTACAAACGGCAACAGATAATGAAGATTTTAACCTAAAAACCCACAGAGCAGAGCACAATTTTTAAATTAAAAGTGACAAGGTGGCGAAATATGCGCTGTTTGAGTTTATTTACTGACGGTAAACAAAGTCCGACTCCCCACAGCACCTCACTGCAGCTGAGACTAAAGTTTAAAGCAGTGGAAGCAGTTTAAAGTGGATCCTAAGAAACTGGATGCAGATGCCATCCGATCAGTCCACCCAGACTTGGCTGACCTCTCAGTTCCCCCGGGCTGTAGGACCACCTGAATGCCGGGCAGAACTCCTCCCAACAGTCTGCAGAGCAGGACAATCCTGTCCTTCCACTGTCATGAGCCGTGTTTCCTGCTAGTTCCAGGATCTCAGTGGTCAGACACTCGAGCACAACTGGCAGGTAGATGAGAATGCGTCCACAGAACATCCTTTTCAACTCATTTGAGATTTGGGGCTGTAGTTGAGATATTTTTTGTGCTTTTGAGATGTTAATCAGCTGCTGTTGGTTGTAGAAAACTGCCTAGTTGCCATAGTCCCCCGGCACCAACAGAGTAATGTTGTGTATGCTGGTCAGTGTCAGGGCTGTGATCAGTCTTACATCGGGGAAACTAAACAGCCACTGGCCAAAAGGATGGCCCAGCACAGAAGGTCAACATCATCAGGCCAGGATTCTGCGGTCTACACTCATCTCCAGGCCAGCGGTCACTCTTTCAGGGATGAAGATGTTCACATCCTGGATAAAGAGGAACGATGGTTTGAGAGAGGAGTAAAGGAGGCCATCTTTGTGAAAAGAAACCATCCATCATTAAACAGGGGTGGAGGCCTCCGGGTTCAATTATCCCCCTCTTACAATGCTGTGATTGCTAGTATCACTCAGCCCTCTGTGAATAGTAAACAGCCATCAGTGTGCTAATGATCCATTGTTAGGCTGATGGTCCTTCTTGAGCATGTGATCAGCTGGTTTTGGTTGTCAGCAGCAAACTGGTTGATCCACTCTGAGAAGGTGCTATT